GAGGGGGCGATGAAGATTTTTGTTTTACACTGATTGCTTTTACACCCATAAAGGCTGTAAAAGCAATCATTTCTCCTTCTCTTTGGCTGCATTCTTGCAGCCATTGAGAAATACTGTGTGAGCTGTGATTGGTCACAGCTTGTCACATGGTACAAGGCTGTTGTGAATAGCCCTGTACCATGTGACCTCTGTGATCATTCACAGATTTCACACGTAGTAAGCAGTGATGTCAGGAGTTACATCTTGCATACACCAATTCATGTGATCACTGATTGGCCAATCAGTGATCACATGATCAGGACTTCCAGACACAGCGGGCACCAGATCGCTGTGCCGCACACTCCCAGGGAGCGCACACAATCCAAAATGGTGGGCCCCTTTTATGAACGGCAACCTACCCCTGCACTGCCACCGTCTGGCCATTTATATACAGTGGCTGGAAGGGAAGTGGTTAAACATTTTTAAGGTAATGCACTAGGCCGGTGCCCTCTGTTTTTCTCTGTTCAGTACTTTGGACTCCCCCGGTCCTTTGAGGGCAGCAAGGCGTGCATATCCCAAGAATTTCCATTTGTGGTCTTAATGACATTGAGTCCATCCCCAAGCACAGGAGTAACTGGGTTTTCCACATCTACACAGTGATTGCTAAGTCCTGGTTTACATATATGCAGCCGTGCGGGCTGCGTTTTGCACGGGCACGAGAGCTCATTCATTTGAATGGAATCTTGTTCCCCGTGACACACAGGGAAGAAGTCCCTGCAATTCTGAAAACACAGCCTGCATGGGAACCTCGGTTCCCAGTACGGTTGCGTTTTCCTGTGCGGGCGGCGTGCCATTAAAACTAATGCAAATGCACAATCCAAACGTACATGTTCCTGCGGTAAAAATGGCTGTGTGTACAAGTGGGTGCTGCAGCGACCATCAGCTGGAACCGCACAGAATCAGCAAGGGAAAATGTCACCAGCACACCGAGGATCACCAATATGGGTCCAAACGTTTTAATGAACGATCACATAGTTACAGCAAGGCAATGTTTCGGAGTCTCGCAGGATCCCTTCATCAGGCATGTGACTATGCCTGATGAAGGGGTCCTGAGAGACTCCGAAACGAAGGGGTCCTCCGAGGCTCCGAAATGTTGCCTTGCTGTAACTATGTGATCGTTCATTAAAACTTTTGGACCCATATTGGTGATCCTTGGTGTGCTGGTGACATTTTCCCTTTCCCATTAGAACTAATGGCACCCGCCCACGGGGTCCGCATTCCTCTGTGCGGCTGCACGGATTTTCATGCGGATCCGCAGCAGCACCACCCACACATATGTGAACCTAGCCTAAGATCTTCCTTGTAAGCAGGTACAGGAAATAAACCCTCTTATGCAGGCCATACATGGGTCGAATTCTGAACAAATTTTCTTTAAAAAAATTGGAAATTTCCTACGTTTTGTAAATCAGCTATGCCACCATTGATTTCAAAATTCAACCAACCAAGGCTTCAATTTCACATGCTGCTACAGAAAAGAATTTTTTTGTGGCCAGGCATTTTCTTTTCTTTCCAGGTCACAGCTCAGCTTGTTTCTTTTTTGATTATATTTATTGTGTGATTTTCCCATCATTGATTCAAAATTTGTTCATTTTTCAAAAAATTTCCAACATGCCCAATCACTCAGGTTTGATGGTCTCACAAAAATTGGCCATTTCTATGACCCACTACTGGTGCAAAATTCTAATGAAAATTTTTAGAAAGGATTTTCGAAAGAAAATTCTTTTGGAATTTGACCCATGTATGGCTGGCTTTATACAGCCAAGCAAACAGCCATCTTGGCCTCTGTTAGATCTGCAGTTGCCATCGTGCTGCACTTGTGATCAGCTCTGACACCAGCCATTTGATGGCTGGACAGTTTGGTTGAGAGCTGACATGAGCACATCAGTAACTGTGAGGGCTCGTGTTCACAGGGCATTTGAAAAATTCTTCTGAACGCTGGAAACTGACTGCTAGAAAACGTAGGTTAAAAACGTCAGTTTAGCTGCGTTTACCTACCGCGTTTATGCACGTTTGCGTTTAGAAGTGTTTTTAAAAGATAACCTCAGGAAACCCTCCCAAATGCCCAGAATGCACTGAAAAGTTTACTAAATTTACTAAAAAAGGCTACTAAAACACTGCATGAGTTATTTTATAAAGTCATGCTGTATTTTAGTAGTGAAAACCATGCGGTAATGTTTCAGCTGTCAGCAGGTTCCCCACTGCCAGCTGAATGTAAAAGAAAGAATTGCCGGCAATTAAAAAGTAATAAAAAAAAAACAACATTTTTTAAAATAATTTTTTAATGGCAATTCTTTCTTTTACATTCAGCTGTCAGTGGGAACCCCGCTGACAGCGGAAACATTAAGGGCTCAAGGTTTTTTACCTTCATGTATTCTGCTCCTTTCCTGAGCCCCCTCCGATCCAGCGACGTCATCGACAGCCTCTGCTGTCTGGGGACTCTTCCTCCTCATTGGCTGAGACAGCAGCAGGAACCCATTGGCGGAAAGAAAGGGGAAGTGGGGGGCGAGCCACTTATGGACGCATAGCGCAGTGGCTTAGGGATGAGCACACAGCAGTGCCCCCCAGGGTGAGCGGCTTTCCCTGGGGGCACTGCTCAGGGGGGAGCCAGAGCCAGGAGTGCCGGTGGGGAAAATGAAGCTTTAGTATCACTTTAAAGTATATGTAAACCCTCACCTTGTAAAATAACCCATTCAGTTTAAAATAGAAATGAAAGGCAAAACATTTGTGTATAGATATAAAAAAAAAATTACCTTTTTTCCTCATGTTATATAAACGATCACATACCCTTTAAGCTCCTTATGCAGCTGAAAACAGAGAGCAGGGGGAGGAGAAACAGCATCATACTGAATTGCTCAGTGAATGGCTGTGCAGGAGGTAGGGGGTGAGCAGAAGTATGATCATTGGAGGAGAGCACACTGACTTCCCAGCACAGCTAGAGAACTGACCACACTTTTCTCTCATGCCTACTGTAGTCAGTTTTTAGCAGGAAAGCAGAGGGACTGGCAGGAACATTGGGGCAGCACAGTGGCTAAATTGTTAGCACTTCTTCCTGGCAGTACTAGGGTCGTTGGTTCAAGCACCGCCTACCTTGAGTTTGCATGTTCTCCCTGTGCCTGCGTGGGTTTCTCCAGGTACTCCAGTTTCCTCCCACCCTCCAAAGACATGCTGATAGGTTAATTGTATCCTATCTAAATTGGCCCTAGTATGTGTATGAATGTACGTTAGGAACCTTAGACTGTACACCCCTTGATGGTTAGTGACTGATGTGAATGTACAATATATATATGTAAAGCACTGTGTAAATTGACAGCGCTATGTAAGTAAATATAATAATAATAATAATAATAATCTGGGAATTTCACACAAAGGAAGCAATACAAAGAAAACAGGATGCTCTTTCATGCATGGTACAGCAGGCACATATCAAGAAAATTAAATACTGGGCTTGCATACTCTTTAAAGCAGAACTAAACCCATTAATTTAATGGTTTCTCAAAACAGATATATTCAAGGGATGCAGTGATTGATAACTGGCATGATTGATTGTGCTCTCAACTGAACAGTCAAGCCATCAAATGGCTGCTTTCATAATTGATCACATGTGCACCACCATGGCAAGAGCAGATGACAGCTTCCTTGGCTGTAATGGAGAGAAGGGTTCAGTTCTGCTTTATGTGTTTAGCTCCACTTTAATACGTTTTGCTGTTTAGTGGTATTGCGCTTATCTCCGAGTTGCTGATATTTGGGTCCCCTGACTCTGAATGTCAACAACCTCCCAGGCAATGCCACACCTTCTGACATACCAATGTTGAGGGGAAAATATTTATTTGTGCAACACACAGTAAAAGAATAACCAAAGGAAGTAAAAGAAGTAATAAACATGTTAACATGTATGTGGCAACAATTACAAAATAATGTATGGCTCAGTCAGCCAGCGGATCAGTGACTTTACCCCAAACACTACACTAAAGGGGTCCTCAGTAAAAGCTGGCCATAGACAGATATAACGTCAAAAGAAAAGTCTTAGGAAAATTCTCAGAACATTCAAATGTTGTACGCAAATGTCACAAATGTTGTTTTCTTTTAACATTTGTGCTATGGAATACATGGATTTTACTGAATGGAAACCACATATACTCTTTTCTCACTCGAGAAAAAGTTTCCATCCTGCTCCACTGAATTTTCTCATCATTGCGTTCGAAAACAAAAGTCGCCTGACCCACTGATAGAAAAACAAAAACTTTCTTAGAACATTCTTTTCCTAAGAAATGTAATGCAAAATGTTACCCAACTATAGCCAGGTTAAGGGTCAATGAAAAAAATAGTGGTCCGACAGTCTCTGACAAATTCTCTCATACTGGCCAATGTGTTGGGACCCAACCCAACTCCGCTCTCGTGCACATCGCTGGAGCCAGATCACGCTCTGGTATGTATTTAGGGGGCTGCAGGAAAAGCTGCATGCAGAAGGTTGTTTTTTTTTTTTAAGCTTACTGTATAGAATGCAGTAAGGTAAAACAAAACCCTTCTGCTTTTACAGTACAGCCTCTTTAACATGAATAGACTATACCCATATCCAGATTCCACCACCATGTACAAGAAAAGGTTTCATTCTGTCAACCTTGTATGTGACTACCACTAGCTCGTCATAAGTGTATGATCTAGCTTCCCACACAGGTTTTATGACAGACCCATCCACCAGACTGCACTTTATTGTGAATTTGAGAAAGAACATTTGCAGAGATGGATGGTGTGTAGGTAAATGCTACTTTTTTCTTCTGATTTTGTGTTCCCAGTTTCATACATTTCTTCCATTTTAATTTCCTTTTCTTTTTGTTTTTTCTATACAGTTGCGCTAAAAAATTTGCATACCCTTGGAGAATTGGTAAGGTACACTACAATTTTTTTAAACCCCTTGCCTACCGGGCACTTATACCCCCTTCCTGCCCAGGCCAGTTTTCTGATGGGCACTGATAGGCGGCACTGATGAGGTGGCACAGATAGGCAGCACTGATGGGCACTGATAGGCAGCACTGATATGCGGCACTGATGAGCTGACACTGATGATGCTGCACTGATATGCAACAATGATGGGCACTGATAGGCACCACTGATGGGCACTGATAGGCAGTACTGATGGGTACTGATGGGTGGCACTGACTGCCAGCACTGATTGGCGGCACTGCTGGGCACTAATGGGTGGCACTGCTGGGCAGCACTGATGGGTGGCACTGATGGGGGGCACTGGTGGGTGGCACTGCTGGGCACAGGTGGGTGGAACTACTAGGCACTGATGGGCACAGTTGGGTGGCACTTCTGGGCACTGATGGACACAGGTGAGTGGCACTGCTCAGCACTTGTGAACGGCACTGCTGGGCACAGGTGGGAGGCACTGCTGGGCACTGATCATCAGGGCACTGATCATCAGTGCCCTGATGATTGGTACCGAACAGTCCTCTGACAATTGCCGGTTATCAGCAGTACTTTCCTCATGCTGTGAAAAAAGGTACCAGGGGCATCTCCTGGGGCCCCCTACTGACCCCGGGCTCTTGGGCAGTGTCCCGAGTTTCCAAATGGTCAGTCCGCCCCTGGCTGTGTCATTGGACACAGCTGATCACGGGGTAAAAGGCCGCTGTGATTGGCTTTTTACCACATCACGTGATCAGCTGTGTCCATAGTACACAGCGATCAAGGAGATCGCTGGGTGCATGCCCCTGGGGGCGCGGGGGGGGGGCATTCTCGGAGGACATCATATGACACCTTCCTAGGACTGGACAACTGCGCTGTAGCCGTCATTCAGCTACAGTGCGGTTGGCAAGTGGTTAAAGAAAACATGAGTGGGCAGGTAAAACACATTTATTTTATTTCTTATGGGATTCATATTGTAGTATACTATATATACTACATATACATATATTCAACTGTAGATCATAACAGAATGGCACAATCACAAAACTAAACATAGCAACACGTAAACAAATGAAATGACCCCTGTTCAGAAGTCTGCATACTCTTAGTTCTTAATTCTGTCTATTGTACCCTTTAGCATCAATGACAGCGTGCAGTCTTTTGAAATAGTTGCTTATGAGGCATTGAATTTTTTCAGGTGGTATAGTTGCCCATTCATCTTGGCAAAATGCCTCCAGGTCATGCAAAGTCTTTGGTCATCTTGCATGAACTGTACGTTTGAGATCTCCCCAGAGTGTCTTGATGATATTAAGGTCAGGAGACTGTGATGGCCACTTCAGAACCTTCACCTTTTTCTGCTGTAACCACTGGAGGGTCAACTTGACCTTATTCTTAGGGTCATTGTAATGCTGGAAAGTCCAAGAGCATCCCATGTGCAGCTTTCATGTAGAAGAATGCAAATTGTCTGCCAGCATTATCTGATAATATGCTGCATTCGTCATGCCATCAATTTGCATAGGATTCCTCCTTCCTTTAGAGCTCACACACTCCCAAAACATAAGTAAGCCAACACCATGCGCCACAGTGGGGATTGTAATCTTGTAGTTGTAGACCTTGTTGACCTCTCTCCAAACATAGCGCTTATTATTGTGACCATAAAGCTCTATTTATTTTTGTCTTGTCATTCCAGATTACATTGTGCAATAAACTGTGAGGCATGCCAAGGTGTTCTCCGGCATATTGTAACCAAGCTTTTTTGTGGTATTGGTGCAGTAAAGGCTTCCTTCTGAAAACTTGACCATGCAGCTAATTTTTTTCAAGTATTGTCATATTGTGCTCCGTGAAACAACTACACTGTCTTTTTCCAGATCAGCCTGTTTTTCTTCAAAGGTTACCTGTGGGTTTTTCTTTGTATCCCAAAAAATTATTCTGGCAGTTGTGGCTGCTATCTTTTTTGGTCTACCTGACCATGGCTTGGTATCAAGAGATCCCCAAATTTTACACTTCTTAATAAGTGATTGAACAGTACTGACTGACATATTTAAGGATATCTTTTTATACCCTTTTTTATCTTTATAAAGCTCCATTACCTTGTTAGGAAGGTCTTTTGATAGTTCTTTTCTGCTCCCCATGGCTCAGTATTTAGCCTGCTCAGTGCATCCACATGAAAGCTATCAAACTCCTTGACTATTTATTCACAGGCACTAATTGCAATTTAAAAAGCCACAGATATGGGAAATTAACCTTCAATTGCTATTTTAACCTGCATGCCACCTTGTGTGTCTGTACCAAGGTCAAACTTTCCAGGGTATTTAAACTTTTGATCCGGGCCATTTGGGTGATTTCTGTTATCATTATGATTTAAAAAGTAGACAAACAACTATGTGATAATAAATGACGTCATATGATCAAGATACTCAATACATATACAGTGTCATGCATGTATTCCCTCATGGGGAATATCTCGTGCAAAAACGTGAAAATAAAGTAATATATACTATAATAACATGTATACTAATAATAAACAGTGCCACACAAAAAGTGCACAAAGGAATAAACGATAATTCAAATACAAGAAAAGTCCAAAGTTAATAATAATAATACTGATGATGCTGTGCTTAATGATGAACTTCACACTCCACTCTTCATGCAAAATTATGTGCAGTGTACGTGATGCACACGTGACAATCCTTAACAGCCAAAATGCCCCCTCACCTCCTTCCTTAGACCCCAAGGGGCCAGCACACTTTCAGGATCACATAGATCCTATCAGTATGGATCACTCTCTAGAAAATATCTTCCTCCTCCAGCTCCACCAGTTTTAGCAGCCAGCTCCTCCCAGGGTCATAGTAAGACACAAGCAGAGACCCTCCATAGTGCAACAACCAGTAATTTTATTGGTAATAGGTATAAAAAACCTAGATTTCCACTCACAAAACGATGAATCTTACCAGCCTCCTACCACATGCTATGGGTTTTACTGCCATTTGGGTAATACACAGGGTGTTCCAATATGGCCCCCACGTCGGAAATGACGTCACCACGATTACAGGAAGCTCCTCCCCACGTACCGACTAGTTGTGTCAAGCCCACTTCGTGACTTCATCAGGGTCATAATTTCAATATCAATGCCAAAATTTCACGATTTCTGCCAGGGTATGCAAACTTTTGGGCACAGCTTTATGCCATTCATAAAGCATAATAAATATGTGCATTTGGTAGCTGACTATTTACCGTATCTCTGTAACTAATGTTAGGTATAATACTGTGCATCATACACAAAGCATTAGGAGACCTTAGTTGTGTATATGCAGTTCAGAATTGGGTACTAGTTCAAAAAAAGGATACAGCTGAACTGCAAAAAGTGTGAAGTGAAGAGTAACTGAATAACACATAGTATGGAGGACCTCAAATATGAGGTAAGATTAGCTGAACCTAAATTTATAGAGGATATGGTCACTTTGTAAAATGACATTAATCTGCCACGTGGTAAACTCAATGGAAAGTTGGTTTAAGGTCATTGCAAAAAATCTCTTTTTGTTCTTGAGGGAAGAGAGGTTTTTATCTTCATATACTGTATGGAAAGTGCTCCTAACCATAAAAACTGTGAAAGTGGAAAAGTTCTCCACAGGAGAAAAGTATAGTTCTAGAAAATTTATTTGAAAAAGTGCTAGATGTACAGCATTTCTAAATACACAAAATATAAATTACTATTCATATTTTTTTTTTTAATTATTATTGTAGAAGGTTGATCCAGAGAGTACCCAGTTAAGAGAGAAAATTGGACTATATTTTACAAAGTATTTTTTTCCTTCCCCTGGATCAACTTGAGATTTCGAATTCTGAGAGAATACTACTCAGAGTCCACATGTCAGTTGCCTTCTTCAGTGCAGTTGAAACAATTGAGTACTGTCTGTGATACTTTTTTTATTTGTACTAACATAGAATTTTGAGGACGAGCTTTCGGGGTATGTTCCCTACCCTTCTTCAAGGTCCAGGCAGTACAGTGCAGTTGACCACTCAGCTGGTCACAGGGAGTTCAAGCAAAATCAATAGAACTGCAAAGAACTTGTCTGTTCCAGAGGACCACCATAGGCTTTCAATGAGTTTGTAGCTATTGTCAGGACCATATGAAACTTCTAAGACTTTGCCTTGTACCTCTGTAATTTTCTCCGCACTTTGCAAATTAAAAATCTATTATCTTTTGCTGCTGATCACAAAAGTTTTAGTAAACAGGGGACATGGAAAATCGTGATCTGTTGTGGTGCATGTGCTGTGATGTTAGCTCATGTGTTCATCACTGGCTATCAAGAAGCCAAATTTATGTGAATAGTCAGGCTGCAGAATCTTTTTTTTTTCCTGCAGGTAAAATCTGAAAATACAATTTTCTGTCCTTGTAGAGCAGGAAGGAGGTGTAAGTAAATTTTGGAGAGGTGATGCATTACGACTGTCCTGTTTACTGGCTTTAAATTAAGCAGCTTAACACATTCTCTGGTTTGCAGCATTGAGTATGTATTAATTAAAAGTCTACAGATAGCCTAAGTGAATACACTATTCTCAGTTTGTTTTTTCAGCTGCTGTACTCTTCTGAAGGGCCAGCGCAATGTTCTGGTAAGTTGCGCTCTCAGTTAAAGTGTTACTAAACCCACAGTTTAGTAAAATCAATGTGTATACAATAACGCATGCTTGTTTTACTCACTGTGGGGGTTAATCCTACACATTGTGTAACAAGGCTGCTTGATCCTGTCTTCTTTGATCCTCCCCTTCTTCTACTGTCCCCAATCCATCTGCTGATAGTACACAAAGCTCTAGGAGTCACTGTGCACATGCTTGGTTTAGTGTGTATGGCTAGAGAGGATTTTTTTTTTCTTTGGGAAGGTGCATATGATAAGCACAGGGCCAATCAGCACTGTCCAGACAGAGGGTCAGGGGTCATGCAGCCTCATAGGACAGTCAGATCAAAATGAAAACTCTTCCTACAAAATTAACTAGTGCTCGGCTGGACACTGATAGAAGTCACAAGACTGCTGTATACTGCTGATGAGAAAAGATATTTAGCAGTTTATATTTACTAAAATAATTGAATTTCCATGTTCTGTGTACTGTGGGGGACCAGATATAGTGAATGCAGGGTCCTG